ATGGATCGAAAGCAGTTTTCCTAACGAAACGTTGCATTTTGGGGAAAGCATTTTTTCATTACTTTTTCTCACTGCGCCCAGGTGCTCCTAAACGCTAACGTTGGAATGTTTGCAAATCAAACTTCCTACAATTTGCAATCACTTTTAACTTGCGATGCCGATGAGCCAAAGTTCCCTTGTTACTTCCAACATTTGAATTTCGCAAGCTTTTCGGAGGCGTTTCACGGCGTAAATCTTCCCAATTTAAAATTCATCTACATTTTTGCGACGGTAAGAGTGGTGCACGGGTACATTTACAATGGAAATTTCCGTATAGTAACGGTTGGGCCCGAAAGGTCGTTTCATGTAAATTGCGACTCTAAATTTACCATTGTTCAAGACAAATTGCTATGAAATGTGTAAAAGGGGCAGAAGTTTTCCAATTACCGAAAGGTCGCCGATTTTGGCTTTTCAAATTGGAAGGTTGGCTCGTAAATAGAGAACCGCAAATAATGCTATTCACTTTGAGTTTGCTTTTCATGAAAACTAAACTTTTCTTATTTTTGTTTCAGGTACGTTAAACCTTCGGGCATCTACGAGCGTGATTTGGTATGTATAGAGTTTCCTTAAATCCCTAAGCAAAATCCAATGTTCGATTAAATTATAGTAAAACTAAATCTTTACAGTTTTGCAGCATTTTCTCCTTTTCAAATGAAATATCCATGTGTTGACATGTTTTGACAGTTTATTAGTTTTTTTAATTTCATTTTTGGGCAATAACAACCCGACCAGGGACCCTTAGCACCCCAGTCGTGGTCCCACGTCACTACGCCGCAAAGGTAGGTGGTTTGCCCTCCTGAAACACAGTGCACGTGAATTTCCACGATTTTCATCCTGGGTGAAGCAGTATGTTTCCGGACATCCAGTGGCATTTTTTTTTCGGGCTCATATTGAGAAGGACGACGGAAGGATGGTAAATATAATTTAATCCGCAAAATAAGTAAATAAAATTACATTTATATGTAAATAGAATTAATTTTTAACTCAAACGGTGAAAGTTGCTGTAGTCGGTGGAACGGTACGACAGTCTCGAGCGCCACCAGGAGATTAACAGCCCTTGATCGTGGTCAAGGTCGGCTGGACGGTCGCGGAGTTTCGGTGGCCACGGGTAATCAGATGGAGAAACGGAAAACACAATGGATCGATGGGCGGTTACTGGCGAAAAATCTAAAACAGAATTACGGCACGGAAACGGTAGTAATTTCCTACAACGGGGAATGTAACTCCATTTACTAGTGGAAAACGAAACAAAGGAAAGCAAGCCCTTTTTATCAACGGTACTGAAGTTGTATAAACACTTACCTTAAAAATCAAACGGTACGGTGGATAAAAATATAGCCTAAATGCATACTTAGCAAAACGACGAAATATTAGAGTAGCCCCTCTAAACCTAACTCATTAGAGTTCCCAAAGTGTGGAAAGGGAAGGCTGGAAAATCCGGCTCGCTGAATGAACTAGTATCAAATCCCTCGAAAATTACAGCTTCTCTAATAATTACCTGGTTCTCTGACGTGATAAAAATGTGGAAAATAGCTTAAACATCTTGATAAATTAGCCCGCTTCTAATGACACTAAACAGACACCGTTTGCAATTTTTGGGTCAAATGAAAGGTCTCTTATCTATTTACACGACGGCGGCCTTACTCGCGTTAATCCTAGTTTTCAACTAAATTCGGCTAATAGTCAATAAACGGAATGGAATTCACAAAATGTTAAGTTCCCCCCGTTTTACCAATCACGAGAACTTTCGGGTGCTGCAACAATAATCTAAATATCCTCACGGGAACGGTTACAAAAGTGATCAATTGTTTTTTGTACTATCGACGGATGAAAACTGTATTACCCATGAAAACAGTTAATTCTACACTTCACCTCCTGGAATAAAAATAGTTGTCTACGGATTTTAGCAATGAACCGCCCGAGCGATTCCGTCCATATACCGTGTGTTCATTAAAACTGGTAAATTGCAATATGCTAAGCCTAAGGCTAGCTCTGTAGCACGTATTTTCAATCTCTTTTGTCCAAGGAAAGTTCTTTAGTAGTTTAGTGTGTGGAAAATGCGTTTGGCATTTTCGCGAAGATAAAGTACAACCAAAATACACAAAAACACAGAGATTGAATGTCGCGGACTCCAGGTAGTTGTGCCAAGTAGGGCCAGATTGCAGGAAAGCGAGAAAGTTTTAAGTTTTGGCAAAAACGTGTAATACGCAGACGCGGATTGAGTAGAGGATTAGGGATTTGGGATTTCGGAAATCCGGTCACTGGAATAACACCACAGTACTCCTTCGCTAGTTATGAAAGGCAGGATGGCAAAAATCGCGACTTATTTGTGGTTTTGTAATCTTTCAGATCTTCGCAGTGATTCTGCGAATCTAACTCTCTTCTTTGTTGCCGGTTGTGTTGGTGGAGGAACTGGTATTGATGGATCTCGGTCCTCATTATGGTGGACCTAGACGTGTTTCTAAAAATGGTCTTTCGTTCTAGGTAATCTTCAAATCCTCTGGGGATGCATCCTCACGAAAGTTGACTAAATCCTGGAAGAGGCGGTGACGCCAATCATAAGCCAAACTATTAAGTATCAAGTATCAAGTCGCCATTGTACCAGATCAAATACGGCGTTTCGCGAATCAAAGATTTCCTTTGGTAGGATTCGTCCTTAGGATGAATTTACGAAGTGGGCCCACCAAAATTTTTGAGGGGGGGGGGGCTATCAATATTTTGTTGTGATCTACATCAGTTAAGGCTACTATAGGTCAGTCATTGGGGATTTTTACCTGGAAATAAATCCGGAAGTTTTCAAACTTTGTAGGTTTTGGGATCTAGAACTAAAATTCACAAAATGTACCGATTTTTTGCAAATATCTCCAAAACTATGCGTTTTTCGAAAAAGTATGTAGAGCGAAAAATTAAAGAGGAGGAAGTTTCGTATAAAATATGTTCCTAGTAAATATTTATCACGAAATAATGGCATATCTTTTATTCAATTAATCGATTAATTCATTAATTAATCCATGTTAATAATTTTTGATCAATTAATTTCGATTTAAAATGCTAGACTTGTTTCCACACCACCCAAGAGGTAAAGTACACGGCGCGTTTCTTTTAACGTGGTTTCCCCTGGAGGCCTAATCCACTTAGGTACTAAAATTATCTTTGGTAAAGGCCAGACGGACCTTGCTCGTTTATTTCCATATCGGGGGAAATGGTTACCTCAGCTTCAGAATCGATGTCCATTTCCTTCAACTCGTCGGACTCTCCTTCTGCAGTCCATAAAGGGTCATCAAGCAGCGAATGAAAGTCTTCTTCATCGGATTCGTCCAGTGTCACTTGGCTACCTATCTGTTATGATTTTCGTTTTATTTAAGATTTTCTAAAATTGTGATGGTTATAATATGCGTAATTTTCTTAGGGGGTCTTGAAATAAACGCGGTAGTAGATGTCATTGTACCATTCTTAGAAACATTGCCTGGGAAAAGCTACTGGTTTCAACATCACGGAACGCCGGTTCATTCTACCCATGATGCTTATATGTATTTGAACACTTTTGAAGACAGATGGATTAGGACCTACAGATCCGCGCTTGACCATTAATTTTAAAACACCCTGTAGAAGGGCGATCAAGATTTAAATCATTTGCATGTAGCATCTCGTCAGTATTGTTGAATTTGGAACACTTTTTTAAATCCAAGTCAACGGAGAGGGCGCTAAAGAAAAGCAGTCAAACGTCAAAAATTTTGAAAAATCTTGAATAACTTGAAAACCTTTGATGCTAGGACCTAGGTATAGGGAATGTGGTATGAGACGGCGTGGATTTTCATGTAGATTTCGGAAAAAAGCAATAAAATATAGGGTTTAAAATAAGAAAGTTGCTATCCACTTACACCTACAACCGGGCCAGAAGCGATCATGATAATATTTTATTTCAATAGATAAATTATTAATGGAAGTCTAAATACTTTCAGGTAACGGTTTGCATGAAACAGTCTGTATATACTCCAGTTAAATTACGGTTTGGGATGGATGTTGTCATTTCACCCAACGAAACCAAGTGTATTCCATCTAAAACAATCCGCTGAATCCGAAAATCATAGTCCTCCCGATCGGAAACGCCCGGAACATATTGTTGTAAACAAAAAACGAAAAAAGAATGGCAAAATGTCGTTTCTTTTCGAATTTGACTTCAATTATCTCGCTAACTATTGTTCTGAGGGAAAAAATGAATAGAAATGAATTTGTTTAGAATCAATTTTCTATAGGATACAGTTGGAATGGAACGTTCATTTTCCAATGTTATTTTTTTTATGGAAAAATATAAAAAAGTAATCCCGAAACTTAACAAATTACTATGTAAAATTCATTCGATCTTTTTGAAAATTCGTATTTGGTCACTCTTTTGATAACAAAACAATATGACAAACCCGATCATCATACGTTAGTAATTAATTAAATTAACAAATTAAAGAAAAACGATGCTTTGTCTTTCAAACTGAGCGACTCCCAGAGCGTTCCACATTTTTTTACAGATGGTGGAACCTTAAGACAGAAATTTGCTTGGGAAACATTTTAAAATTTTTTAATATTTCTGGCAAATCTAATTAAAAAAGTATGATCATCGATCATAGCCCATGAACCTTTATGACCTTGATTCGAGAATCTTCACTAGGTTATCGTCGTATTCATTAAATCGTTGTTTATAAGCGTAATCGGTTGAATTAAATTCTTCAATACGAATTACTGAAGATTTTACTGAAACTCATGGATTCCAGTCCTTGAATTGTTGTAGCTTATACTTACCCTTGGTGTTATTTCCTAGGTATGTATTTGAAAGAAATTCCCAAGATACCGGATAACTTACGAGAAAAGGTTCAAGGGTTGTGATTTGGTTGGTTTCAGCGACCCCAATGAGTTAACAAAGCGTTACTCCCTTACATTAACTGTGTATGGTAGTAAAGAACCAAAAACCAAGACTACAAGCTGCTATAATTCAACAATATTGCCTAAAATCTACAGTAAAAGTACCAATACTATCAAGCTCGCTAGTGCGAAACCGAATGAAACCTTAGATGACGAATCCGCAACATCCGGATTCCTCATTCGGTGACAGAGCACCTCGAACTCGTTTGGGCTGTACGAATCCCCATCCACCGAAGCTTTAAATGTGGCCTGTCTCGACCTTTCAGTGGGAATAGTGACCTTTCCAACGGATAAAACATTGCCCGCAATACCTCTACCAATGTACATGTGGCCGCTATATTGATAGCCGCCCGGTATTAGTCGTGGGAGGGCTATGTGCCTGATATCAGCGCCGGTCGTCTTAACCCACTCTACATTTTCTGGTTTCCTCGTGCAGAGGATCTGAAACAGACGATCGACTTAATCGTAAATGGTTAGATCCGTCCGGCCTACTTTAATATTTTCGGTTGCTTCGCGCGCAGAGTAATCGCCTTGGTAATAAATCTTTTGAGCACCTCCGAAAATTTGACCGGGTATAATCGCTCCTTGGGCTACCACCTGCCCGATATACGTCGGATTGCGGTCGCGATCCAAACCCCCGGGTAGCGCGTCGTTTGGTACGTCCCCGTTGTAGTCACGCCAGTAGACATCTGGATATTTACACTAAGCGAGGATGTACAACGGACAGTGCACTTACCATCTGAGTGGTCCGGTGCCGATAACACCATACCACTGGAATAAAAAATTAACAGCACACACAGATTTAACAACATGATCCAGTTACAAAACAAGCGCAAATGCTCGTTTTAGGAGTTTCTCATTAGCGGATCAATGTCAGAGTTCACTTACTATCTATGGGGTTTTTAGTTTTAAATAGATCACTGCAAATGTAAATTAGTCTTAAATATTTAAGAAGTAAACAATTACATCACACCGAGGTCAAATTGTTTATCTGTACTACAGGCTGTGAATGGTGTAATAGACTTATCTTTGATATATGGGAACAGTATTGATATCACCAATTACCAATTGACATCACCTACTAAGGGTCAGCCCGAGTGTTTTTTTTAAGATTTATAATGGCGTTGGTAGAGCGTTATCATTTCGAAGGACGCTCTTAGTAAGTGGTTTCAAATGCCATGAAATCTACGTACATTGGACAGGAGTTATAATCAAGTGAACTAGCTCTGACCAGAATGGTATTAATTAGTGATATTATAGTATTGTAATTGTGGGAATGTGAAGAGGTAGGATTAGTGACGTAAATTGCAAGGTATGCAGACTGGTAGTTGAGGCAAGAACTAGTGAACGCAAGAAAGAACCCTTTTTCAAAGCCCCACCCAGCTCTGGTATCTACATAGCTCAACAATTTAAGAATAATGGCTTATGTACATACGGACATCAGGATAAAAAACAGGCCACATTTCCTCTCAGTAAGGATCTTGCTGAAATACGCTGATTTTTGGAATATTGTTCGTAACTCTTGTGCCAATTCTATTCACTGATTTTGTGATAATCTACGCATTAGTACCAACTACCAACTAAGGTCGTACTACAGAATCTCTTCCCCCGTTTCAATTTTCAACCCTCCAAACCCACCGAGCACATGGGGGTTTTTCTTCATTATCCCTTCAATACTTCAACTTAGAAAACCCGAGCGCTTACTGCAATACAACCCATCTCTACTATAATCCGCCAAATGCCTCCAGTCACATAAATAAATAAAATACTGAAAGTACTGCTGGAGATTGCATGCTAATTAACGATAGTGATTGTTGACTTAGGTACGCCTGAAGGTATTTTCTCCATTACGTAGAACTCATTATTATTGTTTTACGGTACCTTTATTTGTCGGAGAACCCCCGTAACACCTATAGGCGTTGAGCCAGAGGGCATATGCGGTTTTCTTTCTGGGGAGTAAGTGTAACGTACAGATTTAGATTCGACATGAAGCTAGGAGAAATGTTTGGTATGATACTTCGTAAAATTCGGTAGCTTAGTGACGTTATGACGTCACAAAGATGGCCACGGGCGAAAATTTTAGTTAAGCATTCTAAAGTGTGGTTTCATGCGTAAGGAGTGAAAGTATCATACAAATTTTGATTCAGCATAAAGCTAGGATTAATGTTTGGGATGATACTTTGTAACATTCGGTAGTTCAGTTACGTTACGACGTCACGTTCTAATGTTTAGTTTTATTTGTAGCGAATGGAAGTATCATACAAATTTTGGTGCAGCATAAAGCCAGGATCAATGTTTGAGATGATATTTCTTAAAATTTTTGAGACCTTTTTCGAAATTCTCCGTCCTAAATTAAGATCACAATTAATTAAAACGGCAGTTACAGCGCGTTCGGCAAACTTCGTGCGTTAAGGCGGTCCAAAAACAAATCGAATCGTTCACGTGACTTTTGCAGACCTTCGGGAGAAAATTTACCACGGCGCTGTCGTCCAAGTTACCTCCCCGCGGTAAATCGAATAAGTAAGAGAAAACTTGCCCGCAGGTATGTACGCCGATTCCGAGCTCGAACCTCTCCGCCGGAACCCGCTATTCAAGAACTCCTTTTCTCCTCTCACCCCCCTCCGTGTCGCAGATCTCGTCGAGATCCACAAACGCGCAATTTTACTTTTGCTCTAACTCTAACGGTTTGGCCGGGAGAAGGCCTCAAAGTTGGAAAATGCGAAAAACCCCATTTTCGAGAGTGGCGCTCCGGGTCGCGCAGTTTCCAAATTCGAATTAACCCCAGAATCCTAACACCGCGCCGCACGAACAAGCTCCTCCACGTCCCTCGCGATCTCCCGAAAACGGCAAAAGATAATCCGGTAACGTTTTCAAGCAACGAATTTTTTCGCTTCTTATAGCAGCTACCCAGACGCATGCCGTAGGAATTTTCTTAACCTTACGAACTGTTGTGCTAATAATCGGACCCCCCCCCCCCCCGGAACAGCGACGTCCTAACTCGACCCGTACGGAAGCGGCGAATTTTTAAACGCGCCCGCGTACCGCTCCCCAGCCGCCCAGCGAAATTTCCCAGATGCCAAATTCGCAGAATCGATGCAAAGTCGCCTCAAAAACGTCTCATAAAAATTTCGTCCAAATCGCCGTACGATATAAAAAATTAAAAATTAAAATTTAGTTAACGGTTGACTATACTAATTAATTTTTCAAAATATCATCTTGAATAATAATCCTGGCATTATGCTGCACCGATATTTGTATTGTACTTATAATCCTTACAAATGAAACCAGACTTTGGAATGGTAAACTACAATTTTAGCCCGGCGCCCATCTTAGCCGCATTTAAATTATTGTTGTCACGAAAGCGTTGTGGTCCAAGGTACAAAACATCCAGTGTTTCCATATTTGGAGCGTTTAGACCATTAAACACAAGTTTATTAATCAAAACTGTGCCCCTCTCTTGTGTGCACGGGGTGTTAGTAGATTTTATATTATATGGTCAAGTTTGCCAAAGGTTTGATTGAGTTCTACATCTCATTTTCTGAATTTGAGCTACCTTTCAAAAGGAGAGAAAAAACTGTCAATGGGAAAAAACCGTGACTTATCGTAAAGAATTACGGACCAAATAATACCGTTCAAAAATTTAATTCATCATATTTCTGGGAGAGGAATTACGACAACGACCCCAAATCCTTATCTATGTGCTAAGATACTAGTTATTCTCTTCACGTGTTGACCATGCTTGTGCGGAACTTCGGCAACGAAATGGCTGCCGACTGTTATGTTGGTAAGAATATGGCCTTGATCATCGGAATGAAAGGTTGGGTTAAATAGAGAAAAAGTTGTGACTCGAAATTAAAGCGATTAATTAAAATTGATCCCCTGAAAATAAGGTAATCACATGTAATAACCACCTCCTAATCGTAACCTACCTCTTAAAATAAGAGGGCTACTCATAAAACAGTGGGATTACCGCAACGGTGGACTGAAATCGGTTAGCTGAAAGAAAATCCAGAAACCCGTCCAAACTAAATCGTGATCCCCAAAGTATACGTTCAATCGCCAGAATAATTATACCTGGAAATTGGAATTAGAACCCAGTGGGTTTCACCATCACCCTTAGCTTTGCTTAACGCGCTCAGCTAAGGCGTGCTTTTACTATAACGCCAGAAAAGGAAACTGAAAAGCTCGCGTCGAAAATCCAGCGACAAGTGACGCTAGTAAACATCATAATTGAACTTGAACAGAAGAGCAAAGGTGACTAAAAATGATTTATCCGTATCACTATACAAAAATACCAAAATTAGCGTATACATGCTACAACAATTGAACAAGAGACGAAGATATGATTTTAAGTAAGGGAATCTTTGGACACTCAGCTTGCATTGGAAAACACGACTTTTAATCCGGCTCAAGTTCAAGAGCACTGCTCCTTGGATCTGTAGAAATAGATTAGCTAAAGTTTGACTTCAGGACATTGATCGCAGTTTTTCGATGAAATTGAGGATTGTTCTGAAGACTATTATTATTTTAAGTGTGCGTTACTTGGTATCGCAATTTGTACGCCATTTAAAAAATGATTGTTTTTACTTTTCGTTTATGGAAAATGTGGAAGTGGAAAGCACTTAAGGTAGATTAGGTAGAATGGCGCAGCGGAGGATTACTGCTTACAGAATCTTGCATTAATTTCAGACTTCATTTAGCGTTATGATAAATAAGGCGATATAACTTAAAATGTACAAGGATTAATTTAAGGACTTTCATGAACCATCCGTCATAAGTGCGGTAATTAATTAATTGATTGTGTCCCCACTACATTTTGTCACGGACCACAACCTATAGAAAATTGTTTCTCACTCCGTATATTCCAAGCGTAGGTCTTATGTAGCCATTTCGCCGCTACCTCCGAAGATAGCTGGAAAGTAACTACTATCCAACTCTTAAAAGCAATTATTTTCTTCTTTAATCTTTGACGGCTAAGCTCTTCAGGGAATAGTGCTTGAACTGGGTGGACATACACCTAACAGTTGAATAGAGACGAACAGTCACACCGAACCCTTTGAAGGATTTCAGAATTTCCATCCCAAATATCTCGACTGTGTGCCTGAATTAGGTCGCGTACGGATTTCTTTCGTTTAAAAAACATCGTTCCCATTCGGCAAATGAATTGTTAGCTCAATTGTGAGAGTCAAGAATAAGGATTAACTTTGAGAAGTAAATTTTGTTAATTTTCCTCGTTGGAATCGCAGGGCTTAATTTAATTCGCTCCCGGTATCGCAGCAACGGGAGTCATTTTGGATGTAAAGTACAGAATTTCTTGTTTATCTTCAAACTGAATTAGGAATCCTTTCAGATGAATGAGGCTGTACTTGAAAGCTTTTAGTGTTTACCGGGCATTCATGTTCTGACTTGATTTTCCTGACAACATCGCAAAAGATATAACTAGTAAATAATTCAACGCGATATTATAATATTGGCAAGTGAGCGCTTTTAGTGCTCTTATTTTTTAATTTAATTTTTAATTTATTTATTTATTGTCCCTCTCTTGTTCTTATAACTACTGTCGGATATTAATCGGGTGTGTTCTTAGTTACCACGTCGTTTACAAGCTATAGATTAAAAGAAAACAAGTATAAATTGTGCACAGCTCTTGTTCAGATAAAGCGCATGTTTTCCGAAATAGCTTAGGAAATGGTTGGATTATAAGGGGAGGAGGCCCTTTACACATAAACGTTTAAAGACCGCCTGGCATACATTCAAAATCCGCCGACACTCCATTATGCAGATATTTGCACTGAAAGCTTCGACTTCACCAATAGATGTGTCTCGTCCAGTCGATTCATTTTGCCTGTGAGAGTACTTTCATCCGACAAACCATTTTCGAGATATTCGCCCTTAAAGTTTTGAAATCACCAATGGA